GGATCCTTACTTTTTAATATACAGTATTTATAAACAATATAGGGTCTGGGATTAAAAATACCGTTTCAGTCTTTGCAGATGACACCAAGCTCTGCAGTGGAATAACGTCCTTACAGGATGTCTCTAACTTACAAGTCAACCTCAATGCACTGTTTAATTGGGCAACTATTATTATTATTATTGTACAGAATTTATATAGCGCCAACAGTTTGCGTAGAGCTTTACAATATAATTTAGACAGTACAATTACAATACGTTACAGTACAGAAGGAATAGGAGGGCCCTGCTCGTGGAGCTTACAATCTAAAGGAAGGGGGAGGTGATACAAAAGGTGATAGCTGCGGGGGATGATCTGGCGGAGGTGATTCACGTACAGTTCTTAGGTGGTGATGGGGTAGGCTTCCCTCAAGAAGTGAGTTTTCAAAGATTTCCTAAAGGCAGACAGGGTGGGGGCTGACCGGACATACTGTGGTAGGGAGTTCCAGAGGATGGGAGAAGCTCTGGAGAAGTCCTGGAGGCAAGCGCGGGGAGGAGGTGATGAGGGAGCTAGAGAGGAGGATATCATGGGAGGAGCGGAGTGGGCGATTTGGGCGGTATCTGTGGATGAGGTTGGTGATGTAGCTAGGGGCAGTGTTGTGGATGGCTTTGTAAGCTGTGGTTAGTATTTTGACTTTTATACGTTGGGTTAGTGGAAGCCAGTGGAGGATTGGTAGAGAGGGGCAGCAGTCGCTGATCGGTTGGTAAGGTGTATGAGTCTAGCAGCAGCATTCATAATAGACTGAAGGGGGGATAGCCTGTGTAACGGTAGACCAGTGAGGAGGGAATTGCAGTAATCGAGGTGGGATATAACCAAGGCGTGAATAAGTTGTTTTGTGGTGTCATGGAAGCCATGGGAGGTTATCAATTGGCCCAGGGAGGAGGTATAGAGAGAGAAAATGAGGGGCCCAAGAACAGAACCTTGGGGTACCCCAACAGAAAGAGGAAGCGGAGCGGAGGGGGAGGAGTTGTATGTGACACTGAAAGTGCGCTGAGAAAGGTAAGAGGAGAACCAGGAGAGAGCAGAGTAACGAAGGCCGATGGAGAGGAGTTTACTGAGGAGGAGCGGATGGTTGACTGTGTCAAAGGCAGCGGAAAGGTCAAGGCGTATGAGTATGGAGTAATGGCTGTTGGTTTTAGCAGTTAGTAGGTCATTAGTGAGTTTTAGTAGGGCAGTTTCTGTGGAATGTTGTGGGCGGAAGCCAGACTGTCGGGGATCAAGAAGGTTGTTGTCGGTGAGGTAGCAGTTTATACGGTTGTGAACAACACGCTCGAGAAGCTTGGAGGCAAACGGGAGCAGGGAGATGGGTCTTAAGTTATTCAAACAGGTGGGGTCCAGCGAGGGTTTTTTGAAGATGGGGGTAACCAGTGCATGTTTGCGTGGGGAGGGAAAGGTGCCCATGGAGAGTGAGAGGTTGAAGATGTGGGTTAGAGAGTTTAGGATAGAGCAGGAAGGAGGCTGCAACAGTCGTGAGGGGACAGGTTACAGGGGACAGGTGGTGAAGTGAGCCTTTGAAAGGAGTTCGGTAACTTCCTTGGTGGTAACAGGGTCGAAGGAGGAGAGTGTAGTGTTTGGTGTTGGGCCTGGTATGTTGGTTAGAGGAGGAAGCTTGACACTGGAGATCTCATCACGAATTGTGTCAATCTTCTTCTTGAAGTGACTGGCAATCTCCTGTGCAGTAAGTAAATTGGTGGGTGGAGGCAGTGGGGGGTGGCGTAAGGAATTAAGGGTAGAGGAGAGTTAACAAGGATTGGATGAGAGGGTCTTGATGAGAGTGTTATAGTAGGTTTGCTTAGCAGCGTGGAAGCTGGAGTTGTATTTGAGAAGAGCAGATTTGTAGAGGGTAAAGTCTATCAGGGATTTATTTTTACCCCATGCTTGCTCAAGAGTGCGGCTGCGTCTCTTGAAACTTCTGGTGTCATCTGTTTGCCAGGGTTGTGACAGGCAAGGCCTGGTTCTGTGTGTAGAAAGAGGACCAAGAGCGTCCAGGGAGGATGATAGCTAGTTGTTGTAGGCAGATGTGGCCAACTCTGGGCAGGACAGGGGTGCAATTTCATCATAGAGGCGCTCAGTAGCGGAGTGGAGAAGGTCAGGGCTGAGGTGATGGAGGTTTCTACAGGTAACGGTTTGCTGGTTGGAGGCATGGGAGGTAGGAGGCAGGAAGAGTGTGCAGCTGATAAAGTGGTGATCAGAGAGAGGAAAAGGGGTGTTAGAGAGGTTACAGGGCGTGCATAGGTGGGTGAATACAAGGTCAAGGGTGTTGCCATTGAAGTGGGTGGTGGATTGTGACCATTGTGTTAGGTTAAAATAGGAAGTTAGGTTGAGTAGTTGAGAGGTGGCAGGGGTATGAACATTGACTGGGATGTTAAAGTCACCAAGGATGATGGCAGGCACCTCAGAGAGGAGAAATTATGGTAGCCATGCTGAAAAGTCATCGAAAAAGCGTGAAACTGGGCCGGGATCCGGTAGATGACAACGATCCTCAGACAAACAGGAGAAAAGAGACGAATACAGTGCACCTCAAAAGAGCGGAGGGACAGAGATGGAGGGGCAGGAAGAACCTGGAACGTGCTTTGTGGGGAAAGATGAAGTCTGACTCCGCCCCCTTTTCATCCGCTGGGTCTGGGCGAGTGAGTCCAGAGGAGGCCGCCATGGGAGAGTGCAGCTGAGGAGACAGTCGAAATCCTGGAGCCAGGTTTCAGTAATCGCAAGAAGGTTGAGGGCGTGGGAGAGGAAGAGGTCATTGATAGTAGAGAGTTTGTTAGAGGCTGAGCGGGCATTCCAGAGGGCACATAGGAGGGAGGGGTTGGTCCGTGAAAGGGGAATTGAGATGAGAGTGTGAGGGTTGCGGCTGTGGCCAGAGAGGGGAGGCTGCTGCTTCTGTGGGTTGGAGTTTGATGGTGGAGGGCCAGGGTTTGGGGCAATGTCTCCAGAAGTTAGTAGTAATAGGAGGGTGAGGGAGGTGAGGTGGGAGCGAGATTTATATGAGGGCAGATACCGCAGTGCTTTTGTAGCGGTGATATTATGTGGACCAAGAGAGAGCAGGAGATAAGTACAGTGATATTGAGACTATGTGACAAATGAGGTTTAATGTTGATAAGTGTAACGTTATGCACTTGGGGGCTTAGAATATGCATGCATCATACATACTGGGGGGTACAACTGCGATTTCTAAAGCAAGCAAAATCCTCTCTTGTATTAAAAGAGGTATAAACTCCAAAGAGAGAGATATCATATTACCCCGGTACAAATCATTAGTAATACCTCATCTGTAATATGCAGTTCAATTTTGGTCACCAATTCACAGAAAGAACATTGTGGAACTGGAGAAAGTACAGAGAAGGGCAACCAAACTGATAACAGGCATGGAGGAGCTCAGCTATGAGGAAAGATTAGAGGAATTGAATTTATTCTCTCTTGAGAAGAGGAGATTAAGGGGGGATATGATCAACATGTATAAATACATCAGTGGTTCATATAGTGAACTCGGGGTAGAGTTATTCACCCTGAGGTCATCACAGAGGACAAGGGGGCACTCTTTTCATCTGGAGACAAATATTTAATCTCCAAATAAGGAAAGGTTTCTTCACAGTAAGAGCTGTGAAAACATGGAATAGACTCCCTCAAGAGTTGGTTTTAGCCAACTCAGTGGATTACTTTAAAAAAGTCCTGGATTCTTTCCTAGATACACAGAATAGAACTGGATACTAACTATTATAGGTAAAGTTGATCCAGGGAATATCCGATTGCCTCTCGGGGGTTCAGGAAGGACTTTTTTCTCCTGCAGGAGCAAATTGGATCATGCTTTGCTGGGGTTTTTTGCCTTCCTCTGGATCAACTGTGGGTATAGGATTATAACTTTTTTTTTATAGTTGAACTAGATGGACTTTTTTCAGCCAGACTAACTATGTAACTATGTAATTGTGTAACTATGTAATATTCACCAATCCAGAGATTTTCCCTGATGTATTTTTTTTTTGTATTTTTTGTCTGATAGCCAACATCCATTCAGCCCACTTCCTCTGAGCCCAGGTCACACTGGATCTGTCCCCAGTCTGTGACTGGACAGTGAAAGGAGAAGCAGCACAGTGATGAGCCCTCTACATCTATCAACATGCTTGTCAGCACATAAAGTAATGTGGTGCTCTGTGTGCTGCTTTTACCTCTCAAAGTTCAACTCTGATGTACAGAAATTGCAAGAGATACCAGGTCAAATTAAATTATTACAATGCTTACATTAAAAAAATACATTTAATGATATGTTAACCATTACAGAGCTGCATTTTATGTTTATGTAAGGCGTTCTGTGATTGGAGGGGGGAGACTGTGATGTTCTTTCACACTTCCTTCAATCACAGAATTCCTTTCATTCGTTGAAAAGAATACAATACATTTTTGGAATGGACATGCTACAGAGGAAGTGACCCACTGTGATATGTCCACTTCAGCCAGAAATGTAAGTTTCAGTACTGGATGTTCAGTGCGGACTGTACTGTATGGGGGGAACGAACGTAAAAATATTACATAACGTGGCAGCAACCACACATTGCACTCACTTCTTTTATTTTTACAGTGCCAATGCCCAATACTCTTTTGCCTGGAGTTCATCTTTAACCGCCTCTCGCCCGCCATAGAAGGAAATGACGGGCGCAAGGCGGTTCTCTCGTTCTGGGAGGACATCAAATGACGTCCTCCCACTCTAATCGCACGTGTGCTGCTCCGGGGGGGGGGAAGCGGATCACCGATCAACGGAAAGAGCCGCAGACGTCGGCTTGGTCATGTGATCAGCTGTGTCCAATCACAGCTGATCACATGTAAATAGGAAAATGCCGGTTATCGGCATTTCTCTCCTCACGAGCTGTCACGCTGACATCTCGTGAGGAGAGCCGGTAATTGGCATTCCTCAGAGGGGACATGTACACTGATCATCAGGGCACTGATGATCAGTGTAGCCCTAGCCGTGCCACCTGTCAGTGTCCATCAGTGCCAGCTGTCAGTGCTCATCAGTGCCATATCAATGCCACATATCCGTGCCTACCAGTGCACATCAATGCAACATATCAGTGCCCATCTGAGTTGCCTTTCAGTGTCACCTATCAGTGCCAGTCAGTGCCACCTATCAATGCCAGTCAGTGCTGCCTATCAGTGCGCATCAGTGCCGCCTATCAGTGTGCATTAGTGCCCATCAGTGCTGCCTAACAGTGCCACCTAACAGTGCCAGTCAGTGCCGCCTATCAGTGCCATATATGAGTGCTGCCTTACAGTGCCCATCAGTGATGCCTGTCAATGCCCATCAGTGCCACCTACCAGTGCCTGCTCATCAGTGCCCATCAGTGCCCATCAGTGCAGCCTATCAGTGCAGCCTCATTAGCGCACATCAGTGAAGGAGAAAAATCACTTATTTACAACATTTTATAACAAAAACTAAGAAATTTTTTTTTTTTTCAAAATTTTCAGTTGTTTTTGGTTTGTTTTAGAAAAAAATAAAAGATCCAGAGGTGATTAAATACCACCAAAAGAAAGCTTTATCTGTCTCAAAAAATGATAAAAATTTCATATGGGTACAGTGTTGCTTGACCGCGCAATTGTCATTCAAAGTATGACAGCGCTGAAAGCTGAAAATTGGCCTGGGCAGGAAGGGGGTATAAGTGCCCGGTAGGCAAGTGGTTAAAGGAAACCTGTACTGCAGAAGTGTAGAGGCTTCTATTGCCTTACTCTCCTTTGGCAAATGCTAGTTTCTGGGCTTTAATGCTGAATCACTGAAACACATATTCAAAAGCAGATTTGGCTTCCTTCTGACTTTCTAATCTGCATGCTTGTTCCAGGCCAGTCACACAATGTACTGAAGCCAGAGATAGCCAGTAATCTAGCATTTCCAGAAATAATTCCTCAATGACAGTTGCATGTTTTTCTCATGATTGGTTTACGTTAAAACTAAGATAAATGTCCATATACAAAAAGGGTTAAATAGCATTATTGAATCTGTAACTACAAATGAAATGCCTTTTTGACCAAGATACACAAAGAGGTTTTTATTAATCATCTTCTTCCAATTTCCACTTATCTGTCATCTGATTATTGCAGAGAGAATGTGGAATCTCGGCTACAGACCTTCCTGGAGGAGAAAAGTACATTATGTCCCTTTTTTGCAGATATGGTCAACCTCGGTGAGTAATTCATGAACTGTTTTATTCTCTGTACATGCTTTGCATGGCTTGTCGTGTTGTTTCCATGTACAGTAGGCTGTTACATTGGGATGATCAGAAAATGACATTGCTGTGCTATATGGCCAGTCACAGAGGTCACCCAAGGGCAGATGCCTGTGTAAATGCTGCAGGACATTTAATTTAACAGTCCATAGATTCAGGAATCTGCTAGGAACAAAGTACTGAGATGAACAGAATGGCAGAAAAAGCTACTTGTCAGTCAGGGCTGAAATGAACTGAAAGCAGTATTTTATCAGACATTAACATCCAGCGTTCTCTCCGGCTCCAGTGAACACCGCTGTGCCTTTTCAAGAAGACTTTTTCTGAGGGAAATATGTTGGCAACCTTCACTCACCTTCAGAAAAATTCTATTTGCCTGGCTGTCATACCGTGCTATCAGATAAATTAAAACAAATGTAAAATTATAAAAGATTAAAAAATAATGACCCAAAGGAAAAAAACATAATTTTCTGTAGAAGTGACGGTCTTCTTTCTATAGCTTTTCTCCATTGAAGTTAATAGATTTTTGCTAATATCTTGGAGCTGGACTTTAATCTTCTTATATCTTGCCTTCCATGGTTCCTGCTCTCTCCTCTTATCAACATGCTAATGAAAATGTAAAATAAAATCTTTCAGTTTTAATTTCATACCTTATTTTAGACCCAATGATATAGTCTTTGGGTCTCTGAGCATGTCTATGAAATGCATGCAGATCATGGCTGATGGGAGTTGAGGGGCCAACAGGGTGCTGTACATACCTTCCTGAAAACATCACAGCTTCCTTCCAATACTTCTCCCAAGAACCCTCAACACTGATGCAAGCAGTGGGCTGGCTCTTGGGAGGAGTTATGCAAATATAAAAATGCCTTGATGGTTGGATGTCAGTCCTCTAGACTGACATCCACCCATCCTAGGCATGCTGCATTTGCATGTGCTGCTATACCTCTGTGAAGGAAAGAACTGAAATCCAAAAATGAAAGATGGTGGCCAGGATGGACTCCAGACAGGAAATTAGGTGTGATCTATCTGAATTGCTGTGACTTCTAATGCACACTGTGAGAAACTTGCAGTGTGAAGTGAAACCAGAATTAGCAATTCCAGTAGAGGAGAAGAGCCTGTAAAGTTGTCCAAGACTGAAGGGAAGGCCAGAGCTTTAACCACTTGTTGGTAGTAGCTAGGGCTACAAGGGAGATTTTTAGTAGCTCAGCGGTGATGGAAGGAATGACTCCCTAAGGAGTAAGCTACATTCAGTAAGTGGCCTTTTTTTTCCACTGAGCACTGCAGTTCAGTGCTTATCGAATCCCTGTTAAGAAAAAAAGTGAACTGTGAAATCACAGCACATGAGTGCACAAGAGTACAGTAATGGACTAACGCCAAAAAGCAAGTCCTCTACTCCTGGACCCCCCCCCCCCCCGGGGTAGTACAAGTCCCCTGAAAGTGGCAAGGTACAATGGTCCACCTAGGTTGAAGCTAGGCACAACCCATTCCTTAGGGACCCACCAAAGCCGATCCTCAAAATATTTGGGGAGAGCTCTCCCAAAGAAAGACCCCCAATGGGAAGAAAAAAAAGATCTGAAAGACACAGATCTTCTCCCCTGTAAAACCTGCTCCCTTAGTCTCTGTTAGTGAAAAAAGAACAAACCACAGATGCAGGTTTAAATATGTGCATAAATTAATAAAAAAGTACACAAGGCAGGCCTTCTGACCACCTTAAAAATTGATGTGGACTAGCCTTAAGATCTTCCTAAGTGATGAGTGGAAGAAAAGCAATAAATGATGAGACCAAGTGCCAGTGAAACTTATTGTGGTCTCAAACCCATAGTGCTTTTCTGGCAGTCCTAGGATGCCACCTCCAGAGGGCACATCTCCGGGAGCACCTTGTATGTAGCATGCTGTAGTATCTTGTAGCAATCTATTACAATTAGGATGGAGCACTGTGCAAGATTGATCGCTACACCATCCTATATGTGTAGTTTACCTTATAGGGAGCCATTAGTTCCATCTGTTGGTCAATAGTAGTGTTCAATTACTGCTTCTAGTGATTCATTGCTAACAGTTTTAGTAGAATGGTTGGGCTACTAATAAATGTCTTTGTAATTATAGTGTAAGTTGACTGCTAGCAAGAGGCTAAAATCAATTGTCCAGGGGTCTCCAAACTATGGCCCTCCAGGTGTTGAGGAACTGCAAGTCCCATGAGGTCTTGCAAGACTCTGACTGACATATGCAAGACTCCAAGAGGCAGAGGCATGATGGGACCTATAGTACTTCAACAGCTGGAGGGCCATAGTTTGGAGACCCCTAGCCTAAACCCAAGCACAGGTGAATAAATCTCTGGTCCTGACATGTCAGCAGTCACTACTACATTTGCATACAGAAATCACAGTGATTCTAATGGGATAACTGTCAAGAAGCAGTTAAAATTCTCAGTAGCACAGAGATTACATTAAATTACTAACTGTCTAAATCAGAAAATTTACTTATTTTATCTTAGTCTGAATTCTATGTACATTAACCCACTGCAGCCAGTTTCTGGAGAGATACACACATGTGGTTGGATCTGATTCTTTAAAGAAGAGCTCCCACTTCATATTTTGATCTGTAGTAGGGAAGGGGGCATCTTGTCCAACTTTCTAGTGGGGCTTTCAAAGTTCATACAGTAGGAGCATGGAACAAAGTAATACAGTCTCAATACAGTAAGCCTACCCCACCCTCACCTAATGGCCATTCTCCCTCATTCCTCCCACCACTTCATTCCCACCACTTCATTCCCCTCAGCCACTTCCTACTGTACCACTACCCCCTCCCTCCTAGATTGTAAGCTCGAAAGAGTACCCCTCGTACGTTGTTTGTTATTGGTGTACTGTGCCATGTATTGTCCCCCCTATATTGTACAGCACTGAGCAAACCCTTTGGCGCTATATAAACTCGATGTAATAATAATAATACAGTTACTTTTTAATTGAAATGAGAGTTCTTCTTTAAATCCATCCAAACTCCAGGAGAATTTTAAATTATCCCTTGCAGTGAGGCTGCTCCTGCACTGCAAGAGTTAATTGCTTGTTTTGTTTAGGGGACAGGAGAAACCATTTTTACTTACCTGATCCTGCGCTCCCCCAGCAGGCAGAGCTCCCCCACAACCTGGCTGTGCATCTTCCTTTTTCTATTACTGATGTATTGCTAATGAATGCTGGATCCATACTTTCAGGTCAATGTCTGATTAGTAGCTGTGAGAAACACTTAGAGGGAGATTTATTAAAATGAGAGCACTCAGAAACCACTGCAGCCGTGCATGGTAGACAGTCAGCTTCTAAGTTCAGCTTGTTCAATTAAGCTTTGACAATAAAACCTGGAAGATGATTGGTTTCTATGCAGAGCTGTATCAGATTTTGCAATATGCAATTTTAGTAAATAAGCCCCTTAGATACATTAGGCTTTTTCTATGTGAGAGACAACAAGGAGCCTTCAGTGGGTGTGTCTTAGAATCTCTCTCCTTCAATGCAAATGGAGAGGCATAAAAGGTCCCCAAATTTCCAATAAAATACCAACTCCTGTTCTACAACAATTCCTTTAAGATGATAACTAAAGCTCTTAGCTGCTTAAATTTGCTCCTTGTATGACTTTCAGGGGCTAATTAATAATAGAATTAAATAGATAAAAATAGATAAAATCTATAAGTTGGTGAAGTTATCTAAAAATACCTTTCACTTGTTTATATTTCCCTTAATTAAGGCACAATCTGGTCAATCGCGCTAAAGGGACACTAGGACAGGTCACAAACCTGCATGTACAGCCTGTCTAGGCTTATTGCAGGAAGAATAGTAGTGATAGAGTGATAGTTGCAAGTTTTCTTACCTTAGTATATGATACAGCAATCATGTGGACATCAAATAGAAGTGAGGTCATTGCCTAATCTGACTAAAGATGGGCATATAGGCAACTGTCATCTCATGTCTTTGAGTAACTTTAGGCATCTTTCATTCATAGATTATTATATATAAATCCTTTTCTGAGCCAAGTGGACAATGCAACTAGGAAGGGGGTAGTGTACTTATATTCATGTGCCAGGATGGGAGAGTATGAGCTGAAAGTGACAGATAAATAACTAGAGACTGTATAGAGCTCAGATTTGTGTTATCACTGCCAGATTCAGTGTTTTACATATG